TTATTTTTTTTTTTTTTTTCTTCCTAAACTCGTATTCGTGTTAAAGTTAGTTATTTTGTATCGAGTGCATCGAAGAAGCTGTATCGATTCTTTTAGAATTCATTCAATTTATATTTTCAATTTATTACATTTCGAAAATAAAAATGAACTATTGTAAATTTTAAATTTTCAATAGAATAAATATAATATTTTTGTAATTGTAAAATTGGAAAAAAATTTAATTTCTAATAACTATTAACATTAGAAACAATATTCCTAGAAATTATTTTGTAGATGAGGAAAATGATCGTTGGACAGCTTCTTTCGAATGCGCTCATTATTATTTTTTTTCTAACACGCTCGGAGAGGTCATCTTTTCTCTAATTTAATTTATCTTTATCTTTTTGTTAATTAATAATCAATCATTGGTAGAAACTCGGTGTACTTACGTGAATGCGCCAAATGAACGCGCCATGACGCACGATCGGTCATTTCGATCGATCGCCGCGACGCGTTCGAGAGCGCGACAGTGTGAATCGATCGATCGACACTTCGAGCCTACCTTATCGACGCGCGAAATTCAAACCGACTCGATGCATGATCTATCATGTATGAACACGCGGACTATGATCTACTTTTTTTTTGGGGGGGGGGGAGAAAGGGACAAAACTGTGGTACTCTGTCGATTATTTCTTAATCATATAGAGAATGTTTCGATGAAAAATACAAATAATAAAATACAAATAGTAAAATATTCAAATAAAAATATAAAAAGTATAAAATGGAATGTGAAATAGAAAATTCAAAAGAAAATTTATCATAGTGGTTCGAGAAATGTTGTGAATCACAGTAGTTAAACAACTTGCTGAATAACTGTGGTTTCGATAGGTTGTTGACACGATGCCAACACGCAATTATTTCGGATTAGTCGAACATCAAGCTTGAGGATCGAGATTTTTTCATCAACACCGACGCGACAAATATAAGAAATCGTTAAAAAAAAAAAAAAATAATTCAATATGTAATTCAATCAATTTTTCTCTGCTAAAACGATTTTATTATCCTTGTAGAAAGATTTGGTGATGCTTCGAAAGACGTTTGTCAAGTATATTTAAGAACCATATTTTTAACGCATTTTTAATTGGGCAAAGATAATGCATTAAATATAAGTTTTTCAAAAACTGTAATTGTAATCTAATTTAACTTAATATACATATTTTTTAACTCTAATGTTTTTTTAAATTCTATTAATAGAATATGTATATATATGTTTCCTATTAAATAAATACGTTTCCTATAAAGAAATTATTATAAATATTATTTTCATTCGTATATTGTATCATAATTATGTATTAACAAAATATTTAAATATTCATGTGTATAATTTTTCTGTATGAATACAAATAATATTATTCAAAATAGATTATATTTTTTAATTCGAATTATATGATAGCAAAAGAGTTAATTTGATATTTAGATTTGAATAATTCGCAATTGAACATTTACTAAAGCCAGCAGTTTGTGCGCATATTATAACTTCAGTGGATTTTATTTTTAGAAATTGAACCAAGGTCTGCTATAGCAGAAATTAAAAAAAATATTGAATAATCATAAAATGTAATTAAAATAACACAAAAATATAGTTATGTAATAATATAGAATTATATTTATAACTAATGAACACACACATTAGATCTTTAATTTTTTCTTTTATTTATCAAAAATGAATGTTATAATTATTAAGAAAATATCAGAAAATTATTATAATTAATATTAACAATCTTCATTATTCATATTTCAAAATTTTTTTTATAATAATTATTTCTAAACATTTAACAAAAATAAGAGAGAAATTCAATAAATAACTTTAAAAAAGATTTATATATTATATATATATTATTTGAGATACAAAGACCGAATTTTAATATATATTTTTTACTTATTACTTATTTTTCTTATTATTTTCAAAAATTATTATTTATCTACTTTTAACTTTGAATCAGGTTTCTTCAGAAAAAGAAAAAAGATATATGATTTATTATTTTTATAGATTATACTATCACAGAGAAAACGATGTTTGAATCAAAATTGGAAAAAATAAAATCAATATTACAATATTCAAGATAATGGAACAAACTAAACCGGTATTTAACTTTTATTGTCTAAATAAAAGTAACTTTCTTCCATTCTAATTTTATGTTTCAAGACCGAGATAAAAAAAAATTCTTTTCTTCATATTTCATCAACAAAACCACATCGTTTTAAATAATTAAAAAGATTAATTAAAAAAATTGAAGATATTGTACAATTATAAAATTTCAAGATATATATAAAATCTAATATTTGCATATTAACATACTATTTTTCACTTGATACATTTAGAATGGAAATAAACAAATATTGCGATTAAGGCAGAATTTGTAGAAAAAAGATCATTGAATTCATAAATTATTTTTAGAAAATTATTTTTATTTTTCAAATTAATAGAATTATGAATGGAAATCTTGACATTTTTTGCTATTTTTGTCATTCGAAGTTTTCGAAATCTAGATAAATAATGCGTATAATAATTTAAAAACTTTAATTAATTTAATTAATCCAATAACATTTGTTTAAATTTTATTTCCTTTGAAATATTCGATTTTATTGGAATAGAAAAGTTTCATTATATTTATTAGGATGAAATACAGAATAAACACAGAATGAATCCGAATACATGGAAAGAACACTGATTCTACATGAAAAAATTAAATTTGAAAGTTTGCCTATTGTACGATTCCCTGATTATATATGTTCAATCTCAATTTTCTCAAAAACAAGAATTTATTCGATAAAATTTTATTCTATATTTTCAATATATAGAATAATTAATATTTATTAAATTTCATTCATATTCAATTTGAATTAGTCAATTTATATTTAAAAATTTTTATTCTATATATTTTCGATTCATTTTTTTTACATAAAATCAATTTCAATTGTACTTTCTACATTTTCTGACTCATCTTGTATACTTTCGAATTTAATTTATAGTAATACTTCACGTTTGAGAGTGCAAGATTTATAATTTAACCTAAAAAGATCGTGTAAAGTGTGTATTACATAATTTTCAATTTCATCATATTTTTGTTACATTAATATATAAAAATAAGATTAATATATTATTATATAAACTTTATTACAGTTGTATGTTTTATGTATATATATATATGGATAATTGTTTATAATTATTTTATTTTTATAAAAATATTTCAAAAATATTTAAAAAGATATAATAAATAATAAAAACATAAATATATCTGATCAAGATTATTGGTTAAAAATAGGGATGATGATTTTGATTTAATAAATTATCAAATAATTCCGATATAAATAAAAATATAAATATATATAATTATGTAAGAGATTGTTGTTGAAAATTGAGATACACCGAATTAATTTTATCTTTAATTCAATTGAACAATTATATTCCAAAAATGAAAATATTAATTTTTCGAAATATTTTCGAAACAATATAAATAACGATTTATTTTCTAAAAAAATTAATTTATATTTTTATATTCTTTATTTATCTTATCATACAAATAAAAGATTAAAAATTTACCAAAAAGAAAAAAGAAATAAAATTAAAAAAATTGATTATTCAAAAATGATATTATGATCATAATTTCTTGCAATATTTTGCTTAATATAAATTATTAGTGATCTTACCATTCATCAATATATAATGCAATGATATCAATGGATCGATATAAACTTCTCATGTCAAAATTATATTTCAGTTTTTCCAAAAAAAAAGGACTAAATTCTATTTAAATTTATTATATTGTCGATTCTCGACAATTCGAAGTAAACAATCTTTAAAAAGCTAGAATAGAGATCCTGCAATCGTCGACGAAAGTATGGTAAAATTTAAAGCCACTTTGAAACGATATATAAGATTAAAAGTTGTAAAATAAAATTGTAAATAAAAAATATCCTTTCTTTCCAAGTTACATCTACGATCGGAAGTTATACAAATGGAAGAGAAAAATCAAATGAAAGTATCTTAACAGAAAGAATTGGATGGAAATTAATGTTTTCTATTCGAGAATTTGTTTATTTCAATTGATCAAAAACATTTATTTGCAACTGTCAGTACTATTGAGACAAGGAAAAATATTTCTAAATCAGCAAATTAGAATGTTATGAATGTTATGTTTTTTTTTTTTGCATTAATGATGGAATAACATTTGTAAGATATTAAACCAGCACTTAATAATTATTATGATGAACGATAGTAAACAGAAGAGAAAAAAAAAAAAAATGAAAAAAAGTTGAAGCAAGAAATAATATTTCTTTTTATAAAAAAACTAGACAGGCTACGTAAATCTGATAAATCATCTAATTTGTCTATATAATTATGATAGAAAATCATGCAACTGATGAAAGATTTTTTTTTAATGATAATTATTTGATAATTATTGAAGAAGAAAAATACTATTATTAAATTTTTTGATACTTCTGGCAGAGCAAAGTGTGATATAGATAGAATATAAGAATAAAAAAAGATTCCTCACATGAAAGATCATCGAGTGAAAAATGTTTTTACATAAATATTAGAGACTATATGCCAGCAAGAAAAGCAAAAGAAAAAAATATATCAGTTGTTCAGTAAAAACGATCTCTTCAAGCTTCTAAAATATTCAATGTTTTATAAAAAAAAAAAATTCATATTCATTACAATTAATTATCTTTATATGCATTAATTTATCAATACATTATTTAAATATTTCAACGAATAAATATTTTTTCTTTATTACATCTTCATAATTATCCATGTTAAATCTATTACAATAAAAATTATATTATTGCATTTTTAAGAAATCATAAGAAATCAATATTTATTATAATTTTTGATAAAAAGATTATTTTAGAAGAAAGAAAGGAGAAAGAAAACATTTTGGATTCGAATTTGGATTCAAGCTTAAAAATCAAGTATTAATCTATTTGAACACTGTTATGGAAAGAATTTTATCTCTACTACATGTTATTTTAATGATTGATAATTTTTAAAGTGTTATCATATGTTTTAAGTAGATTATATCAGAATTACCATTATTATTTTCTCTTTTATTATATTTAAAACTGAACCAACTATTTATTAATCTTCCAAAACAATTTCTCATTTTATAAATTCGTGATGATCATAGATATAGTTTATAATTAATCAATAAAATTTCCTAAAATGATTCACACATATTAAACTGTTGTAATGCATACATAGATGCTTTGATTCCATGTCATATGTTATTGATTTTTAATCAAACGAATGAAATGAAATGAATAAGAAAACATTTTCACATTGAAATCTGCATCTGAATTATATCTTCCTTATCAATCAGTATTCTGCATCGATACAAGATCGACTTCATTGCAATCTGCATCACGAAAATCAATGCATATGTTGCAACATGTTTGTTATGTATAGGTCATATAAGATATGAACATGTCCATGAATAATGTGCATGTTCTGTTTGCATACGCGCTGAATACCCACATCTTACAACAGCAAACATGTTACCTGTCTGTAGACATCTGCAAATCTTAATACGCGATAATATATCAATAGAACAATGTTTCTAATGTTAAATCTGTACACGTTTGAACAAACATAGCAATACACAGTTGTTGCAGATTATAGTTGTATTATTGAGATTGAAGTTATACATTATAAATTTTCATATTCAATTTTCATTATATAATATTCCAGTTTATTGTCACTTTTATTATAAAAATATTTAATTTTCTTTAGATAAAAGATGAAAGAAGGATTTACAAATAAAAATTAAATTTTAATGTTACAATTTTTGGAATTTTATGCTATAAAGTTATTTCATTTAAATTTCATTTAATCATTATTATCAATTTTATCATTTTCTATAATTTCTGTAGTTATTTAATATAAATAAATACGAATAAATATTAAATAAATTATGATAAAATATGTATTATAATATAAAACAATACAAATTTAGGCTACAAAGGATCAAGTTTTAGCATATCAAGATAGAATGACCTATATTTTTTTACTAAGTAATATACTTAAAAAATTATATAATATGTTAAAAATCGAAGATTTTAATTGTTAAATATTATAATATATATCACAAAAAAAAATACCATATATTTTGACATTTCTTTTGATATCTATATATGTATCAGTATATATATAAGATAGAAATTATAAAAATGTTAATTTTAAAAAAAATAAAATAAAAAATTATGTTAAATAATTATATAATAATTGAATTATATTTACAATCTTTGAAAAAAAATATATTATGATGTAACATAATATTATCAGTTGTTAAGAGAAATTTAAAAAAAATTTAGAAAAAAGAAAATAACACAAATTTAAAAAAGAAACTAATACAAACGTAATAAAAAATCATACAGAACATCTTGAAAAGATTAATTTAATCTTTTTGAAACAATTATTGCAACGACTTTTATCTATATTCATTTTTACGTATAAAATGATATCAAATAAAATATTTATTTATGTATTTTTGAAATTTTCAAAAAATTGATTAATCTTTGGAATATAAAAAGCGTAATCTTGTCGGCTGAATCACATTTATCTAATTTTTTTTTAATTAACATCAACTATTAAGTCAATTAAATCAAAAGTGATTCAGGTATGATTATTGAACTTTGAGAATAAGATATTTTTAGTGATACGTTATGCACATATAGAATGTAATAGAAATGTAAAGAATAAAAATTATATACAAATTTCTGAAAATCTAAATTAAATTTTATATTATGATATGAAATGATGTACTTAAAAATTGAAACAGATCTTTATTTCAAATTCGTTCTTTAAATTATGTTTAGTAAAATTTAAATTTACGTAAATATTTATAAATCTAATTATTATAAATAAAAAAGGAATTTTTAATTAATATTCCAAGATTCTAAACAAATATTCTAACTTCACAAATTTTTTTGACATTCAAATTGCATCAACATTATCTTTTTTTTTTAAATAATAACACGTGAAATTTATAATATAAAGTAAATGTGAAATCCATGAATCGATACTATATAAGATAAAGTTAATGAATACGAATTCATGTATAAATCCAGATTTTATATTAATATGCAAGAAATTAATAAAATTAAATATGTTTCATCAATTGTACGAATTTCAAATTCCCTCCACTGTCTTTTGAAGCATCACTCGACATTTTAAACTATTCTAACTAACAAATTGTTCTCACGATGATCAATAATATTTGAGTTTCGATAAGATAGCTCGAAAAAATGAAAAAATTTTCAAGGATATAATTCTCAGGTCATTTATGATAAATAGATATCTTATATTGGATATCGTATAGATATAGATATCGATTAGTAAATCACTGTATCGCTAATATCGGCGCAAGGAGTCAGCCAGGGATTTGTTAACCCTTTCAGCACTATGAATAGACAGACATAATTCCATATACAAGATAATTCATGCAATTATAACAAGCCGTATTCATTTTCAATTGAAGTTAGAGAAAAATGTGAAATGTGAAAAGAAAGTAGTTTAATATAACAGAATAATGAGACAGACAAAAAGAAAAATTTCCATTAAAAATAATATAATAGCAATCATAAAATGTATATTTCAAAAAAAAAAAAAGGTATAATAGCGAATATGTAATCTATATAATTTAAATCATTAATTATTTTTCTAAATTTAATCAAAAAGATAAAAATATACTTTGTTTTAATTAAAATAAACCTTGTATATAAATAATATGTAATATTTCTCAGATAAAAATGATAAAAAATATTTAATAGAAACAAAATGTTTAAATATTTCTGAGAACCAGTACCATGTATAAAGATTTTGTTGCATGTATTGAAGAAAAGATATTTTTTATTGAAACCTGAAAAATCTATCTATTCTTTTTAGTAGTTCTTATCTTTTTTCTAAACAAAATTTCAGCTGCTAATCTCAATGTTTTTATTCTTGAAAGTAGATAATGTTAAATCCAATTTGAAAATTAAATATTTATAAACCAAAATCAAGCTATATCAATATAAACTCACATTTTCATTTTTTTTTTAAAGATCAAATAAAAACTTAACTTTGGAATTATCAAAGATATAATATAATATTAAAAATTTTTCATTTCATTATATTGTTTCTATTATTTTATTTAAAATTGTTATTTTTAGATCATAAATAGATTAGACTTACAAATACTTGCTAATGCTGTTTGACTTCAACTTTATATCTTTTTAAATGTGAAAAACATAATGAATATTATAAGATTTAATATCACAAAAATTATTTATGGATTTAAAATGTCTAGTCCCGAATCAATATAATATCAATATTTTATTTGACTTAATAACATCATTTTTATACTACTATACTATATAAATTAATTTAAAAAATATTATAATATATTATAAAAAATTATAAAAAATAATAAAAACTTGAACTACATGAAAAATATGTAACTATTATATTATTAATTATTATTACCACTGTATAATTTAGCACATATCATACTGAAATCGATCAATCTATATACTATGTAACTAGTCTTAAAATTGCAAATTAGATAAAGAAATCGATCACGATTCTTTTTTTTTTTCAATTAGATAAAAATTTTGGGGTACAGTTCATTGATAAATCGAACGAATCGTATAATGAAATCAAACAGTATATACTATATAGTGTATATATAAATATTAATTTCAAAATTGCGAATTAGATATCTGTAACTAATAGAAGTGTAAATTTTGCCCGATTCTTCAGAATTCGAACTTCGGGACAGATCGGAGAAATTCGGATAGGATCGGGCGAGTTCTTATTACTCTCGAATTACTTGGTGCCCTGAAAATTTCGAGATCTAAAACTGAACTCGAAATGTGATTCGATCTGTGAGCATAAACGGGCAATAATAAAATGCAAATTAAGTTCAGATACAAGACGAAATAGAATAGAAAAGCGAAAATTTCATTAATATTTTGATGTTTCGTTTTTAATCGTTTAACACGTTATATTGTTATTTATATTTGCAATTGACGAGCAAGGCCATAATACGATTTTCAAACCTCTAAAAGCTAAGAGCTGCAAGATCTCGCTATTTAAATAGATGTAAATATACAAAATAAGCAAAACATAAAATGATGTAGAACTATAGCTGCGAATGCGTGAACTTCGAGCAATAAAAAAAGTATTAAGATTTCGTCCGAATTTTCCCGATTTGAGTCGAATCCGTAATTCGATTATTCGTATTCATCCTTAATTACTACAATCACAACAGTTCTCTTCTCCAATTAATTAAAATTCCGGTGTACACAGTTCTGGATTCATTCAGTAAAAAGAGATCATATTTCTTACCGGTTTCTAAACCGTATTTGTCACCTGACTCATATCGAACATTCGTCATACATACACATTGTGCTCAGCGCTGAAAGGGTGAACAACAGGCAAACGCACAAACAGCTCTAAAATGGGAAGGTGGCAGCATAGGGTAGGCACGCAACAACACAGTGGTAGCAGCAACAGGAACGAGGGTTTTCTCAACGAAACAACGCTATTTTCGTTCACCATCCACGGAGAATCCGCGGCTCGACAACTTACAATCGCGTGTTGAATCGCGTCCACGTGGTTGTCAACGACACTCGCGGCCACCGCGCTCTTCGACGCGTCTTTTCGTTCGCTTTGGCGCGTGCCTTTCTTGTATTTGCTGGCGATTTTGTCCGTGGTACTCGGCCTCATCTTCACCTGGCCACCCGCCGCCAACTGGCTGTACGTCTCCTCCATAGCTGCATACTTCAAAATCAAACTTTGTATCTCCTTTCGTTTCGCCGCTCTCTCAGAAATGGCCGGATCGCTTTCTTCGACAGCCTCGACTGTTGCAACATTATCGTTCTCTTTGGCCACGCTGCTGGTCGGTGTCTTGTCAGGATCCTCCTCAGGATTCTTCTCTTCTTTCGACGAAATGAAAGATTCCACTTTCATGGGTCTGGCTAGCCGAAGGGCAGTCGACGAGGATTCCAATTGCTCGCTCTTTCCATTCCGATAGGGTCTCACTTTTCTGGTGCGCGTCTCAGCGTGACCAGACTTGTGCCTTCCGTACCTTTTATAGGTATCCGAGTTTAACAAAGAGTGTTTGTCCGCGCGATGATAACCGGGCGTTTTCTCGCGCTTGAAGTCTTTCGCGTTGGAGGATTTTACGTAAGGATACGCTTTTTCAGAAAGGACCACGCTGGTGGGGCTCTTGATCACGGTGCGAGTCATCGAAGGCTCCAAAGTTTTCTCATCTCGCACGAATGGACTGTCTTCGCGGCGAAAATACGCGTCTCTTTCTCGAGTACGTGGCCCATAATCGACCGAGGGACGATCCGTGTGCTTCTTCCTCGAGTATTTGTCCAGAATGGTGCAGTACTTGTCCTCTATCCGAGCCCTGGCGCTGTTCAGTTGGTTGACTATAGGAGAATGTCTGGTAATAATTGTTGGTTTGTTCACCATGTTGTCGTTCACGGTCGACGTCCCGCGAACTCTGGTGGTCAGCCTTTGCAACAGACTCGAGCACGAGTCGCTGAGCAGTTGCGTGACGCTCGTGGTCGTCGAGGAACGCGCGTACCGATTTCGCCGGCCCGCCGAATCCTGACGAGACGTCGACATATTGTCGCGTGGCGCGAAGATGAACATCGAGACGCAGTTTCAAAGACGCCCACACGGCTGCCTGCCTCCTCTGACGATTCAATGACTCGAGAGATCGAGCAGTGGCGAGGAAAATTACTCTGAGCCAAATAGAAACTGTAAATGTCTAGTTTCGTGATTTCTTCGCGATTTTGACGATATCTAGTTTTTTCTTTACAACCTTTATTCCGCCGAAACAAGACTCCAATTAGGAAAGTTTATACAAATATCATATAATTTTATTTGATGTTCGGATGTTGATTTTAGGAAGCGTAATGCGTGCCAGGATGTTAGAAATAATGTTAGAAAAATTTGTAGGCGTTGTAAACACAAACTAACTTTTGAATATATATATTTTATCGCTGGCATTTTTCGTATTGCGAAAATATTTTTTGTTGCCGAGTAAATACACTTTCTATCTTTGGTTTTAACAGATATATGGACAATTACAATTGTGAGAACGGGTTATTTTCGAATTGCCAACAAATTTGTCAAGAGTGTGTTTTCGTGCAACACGATTTGGCAAAATAATTCATTTTGTCGACATTGTTCACGGAATACGTTGAAATATTGAATAAAACGTTAGATTAGATTAATTATTAATTATCGAAAATAATATTTTTTTCCCCTCTTTTCTGTAAAAACAGATAAAACTAATTTTTCCTAAATTTAAAAGTCTCGTTTCACTGGCGAAATAAGAAAGAACCAACGACGATATCGTCAAAATTGAAAAAGTGGCAAAACTAGACAATTACCAAAATTCTTCTTTCGGTATTGCAAAGCTTCGATGCTGTTTCATCAGCAGCTGGTTCCTCGAGTAATCCTGTTTGTTTTCGAATTCAGCGATGGCGCGCGCGTTTCACAGCCTCTTGGGCACACACACACACGCGCACACACGCACACACGGTTTCAAGGTCGTTCCGCTAGACCTTGCCTGGTGTCCTTAACGCGACACATGCGAGAGAATCGCAGCGAACGATGGCGAAAACGACATCGACTCATACGCGCGATATCGGCGAAACAGAGGGAGAAAAGAGGCGAAATAAAAGCGCGGGGCGGAGGATGATAAAGAGTGATGATCCAGAGGCGATTGGCGGGGAGCGAGAACACGGTTCTGGCCGCAGGTTCATCACTCGGCCGGAGTATCGTGCAACAGGGACGCCAACGGAGGCACTAAAGAGGCACACGAGCACGGCGGTCACGGAGACGATGTCGACCGTTCACGAGAAGGCGGTTCGCCCCGCCAAATACTCTCCTCGCACTAAAAATATCGAGCAGCGGTTGTGAGCTGTACTCACCGACCGACTATCCTCTCCTTCTCTATCCGTTTCTCGCTCTAAACTGTTCGCCGTTCCCTCGTCCTCTTCCTAATCCGTTTCTCTTTTTCGTTCTTTCCCTCCTCTTCTAGATCTATTTCTTCTCTTACTCGCTTCCAACCGAGTATTCGATTTGTTCTCCGTTACAGACATCTATTTTCCTTCCTTCTTCTTCTTCTTTTTCTTTTTATCGAATATTTCTTTTTCTTCCTTATATTATTCTAAACTGCTCGTTCTCCTCATTTTCTATTTCTTTCTCTAAACCGTCCGTTTCGTATCTTCTTCTCTTTTCTTCCCTTTGCATGTGAAATCGAATACTTCTCTCTCGCTCTAAATTCCTCGACTCTCGCCTTCTTTTTTCCTTCTCTTCTTTCTCCTGCATCTATTTCCCTCTCCTTTTCAAATCGAATATTCCTTTAAACTCTCTCTCTCTCTCTCCTTCCTGGTCTTCCCTTTATCCATCTCTTCTTCTCTCCATTCTTTTTAATCTTTTCTTCCAAGTCTATATTTCCTCGCGATAAAAAGGCGAAGAATTAAAAGGGGGGGAGGCACAAGAGAGAGAGAGAATAAAGATTAGTATAATAATATTCGAAGGAGTAAAGAAAAACGAATTATTTATAACGAAATTCGTCTTTTTTTTTTTTTTTTTTAAGGAGGAGTAAGAGAGATCTTGGCAACGAGAGAGCTTCCTGGTGCACGACGAGGTCATCGTTTACACGATGCATCATCGCCACCGATGGGCATTTTCGCGAACACGGTGTGCGCACACACGTGCGTAAGAGGATTCTCCTCGTTCCTCTCCCGTTTCATCTTCTGTCTCTGTGGCGCGCACCTTGACACATATAGAAATTACGAAATCGGGGGAGGAGCGCGATTCGAACGGGAGCAAGAGAAGAGGTTTCGTGGCACGATGAACGATTAAATTCCGATCTACAGCGGGGATACAATACGTGTGTATCGTGTGTAATTAGAACGGGCGATGCGATTTCAAGCGTGCGATGCTTCTTCGCAAGATCGTTGCACCATCGAAAGGATCGAGGTAAGGTTTGAGCGAAGCAAGATCGCACAGATTTCTATGCGAAATTATATTTTTATGAATGTGACCAAAGGAATAAAATGTTTTTTTTGGCTATAAAATTTTATGCTAGGTAAAAGTGTGATTAAGTAGAAAGTTGTTTCATTTTCTTCAAATATTGCGATGTATATTATTCCTTGAATACATTTCTTTTTGCTTTTTTTTATATCATGTATATTTTCGTAGGTTTTTATTCGCAATTAGATTTGATATAAGTAAAATTTGCAAAAATTAGGAATATAATGTATAAATGTATATGAGGTGATGATATATTCATGCGATGTCTTTGAAAGCTCGATTCTAAAATAAATTGATATACAAAAAAAAATATAATAAGTAATTTAAGTTTGCGTTAAATGGAACAGAATGGAGATAGAACAATTTCATTTTACTTATATTTTGCTTTACTTAACATAAATTCTTTGTAACTTAATATATAAGCATTAATCGATATTTTTGTACATCAAAATATACTTTTGTATATTCATTTTGATCTCTAGAATCAATATTCTTCAACGAATTATATTAACACTCTTTATAAAATATAAAATAAAATTCTCGTTATAATATTTATAGAATGAAATAAATTTTCATTTGGATTATGTTCATAAAAATACAAGCATACATAAACATCTGCGATAATACTAATTTGTTGGAATTAACACTAGCATTTAAATCTTTGCGACTT